TATATTCAGAATTACTTGGAAAAATAAAAAAAAGAAGCAGAGTGTTAGATATATATTTATATAAAGAATTATCCACATATAGGTATTCAGTTAATACAATAAGTTAAAAGAAGTTATATAGTATTAAAAAAAGCTATAGAAGCTAGTAGTTTGAAGCAGGTTTTTTTTTATATTAATTGAGCTTTTCATTGACAAAATCTACAAACAAATAGAGCTTTAGGTTTGAATATTGTCTCTGCAAATCTGTTTATTCTAAATAATAAGAGATTTGAATAACTGCTTAGAAAAATTTCTAGATGAGCAATTAATCAAATAAAAAAGGAGATATGTGAGACTAAAATAATGATAATAAAGATAGGGCAACTGTAAATATAATTTAAGATTAAATTTTAAATTACCATATTACTATATAATCTTATCTATAGAACTTATTTTACTTTCAATTATACATTATTACTAGTATTTAAAGCATGATTTAGTGCCACTATTATTATTGTCACTATTATCAATTGATATAGCTATTAATAAAGCTTTATATCAACTTGAAAAAAAATATCAAAGCTTAAGTGATTGTGTGTCAAAAGCTATATTTCTATATAAAATTGAAGCTTTAGCTACTAAAGAAAATATATTTCCAAAAGCGTTATTATATATTGAATCTGAAAAACAAATATCTATTAAATAAAACCTTCTTCTAAGTAAATACCAAGACAAAATTGCTGCAAAAAAAAGATAATAGCACAAAAAAAAATAAAAGCACAAAAATAGAAAAAAGTACTGCTTGAGACTTTTTTTCATTCTTCTAAAAATCATAGAAAATCAAAAATTAACTAAAAAGTAAACAAAGTATAGATAACAAAGCCCGTTAAATAATTCTATCAATAAATAAAGTTACCCAAGTACGAGTCTAAGCAACAACAGTATAATCTTAGTACTACAAATATAGCACACAAAAGTTTGAGTAGTAAAAATACACCTTCCAGTAACAATAGCTCCTTTGAAGCCTTCGACACCATGTTACAACACAAATCACTTCTTTGATTAGTTTCTGATACACTTTTTGGGACCTCCACACCCCCTACCGATACTGTTAACCCAGAAAATCTACCCGAAGCTCCAACACCACCACTTTCAACACCTAAAATTAAACAAACCAATATCAACAAAACCCGTCAACCCAACTTATAACACAATCCATACACCAAAACAAAAAGTGGGTATTCTAGCTCACCCCCAACTGCAGATTAACTGGAGTCATATGACCCCAACATAGCCTCTATTAGTCAGCTAAACAAATCAACGAACCCAATACAAAACGGACCCGACTCTACCAACTCAGACCCCATGGATTTACTCCCACAAACAAATCAAAACAGATCTACATCAGCCGGTCCAAATTAGGACAACAATGGCCTATTATCTATACAAATAGACGTGGACCCGATCCAAGCCAACACCACAACAACAACAACAACAACCAAACCAACAACACCCAAGTACACCCACTCCACTCTGTTCATATAGCCAAGTATTACAGAACACCCCAGCCTCAAATAATTCTGACCCCCAAATCGAACCTACACTATTATAAAATTGACAAATTATAGATACAATCACACAAAGAAATCAGCCTTTTGACAAAACAATATAGCATAATGATGTAATACTTGAAGCACTACAAGATAGTATAAGACTAACTGTGTTTCTCCAACACAAAGCCACTACCCAGCCTACCTCATATAATCTACCTACGTCAATTAATGCAAAATTCAACTATCTTGATACTGCCTTTTTCAAATCATTCACTAGAGACAAGCAAGCTATACCTCAACACCAAAGAGAGTTTGAAGCTTTATTTAATTTGGCTTTAAAAAAAATACAAAAGATATCACCAAACTCGCCTTATTAACAAGAATAACAGAAACCAAATTATGGACAAATTCAAAACAAAGATTGCAATCAACTATATTACTAATATCGATTTTCTCAAAATGAATCTACATGAAATTACTCGCAAAATCGTTTATTATATTAATTTTACACACATCAAGCCTCCAAGCAGCTTTGAGGAGACCCAACAAATAATCTGTAGCATACTAACTGACAGATTATAACCCTTCTCAAACTCCATCGGAGACATACATGTTGACATCAAAACAATATTACCTTTTAACTTACCAATCCAAAACCACAATCAGTCCAAAGCAGTCACTACAGCACTTCGCAAGATCTACAAATTTGAGACCCTACCTGAATCATTCTTCGTAGAA